AGCAAAGCATCTGTCCAAGTGCACATGGGAGTCTCCTGTTGCAGCTGCCCTCTGAGTGAGTTCCCTGCACAACGATGGGGAATTTAATGCCATGGTAGGACTGATAACAAAGAAGTCCCTTGTTTCCCTGTCCACCTCAGGAGCATCAGTGGAAGGGCCCAGTCTCAGGGCAGCACCAGCAAATGCAGGCTGACATTTTCCATGCAGCCCATGATCCCCGGCAGCCCGCGCTGCATAAAATCCACAAATGGTGCTTCTGCCAGCACTGTGCATCCTCGGCTCTGCCAAGCACAATACGCAGCCCACGTAAATACAGAGTTCGGCGCTCCTGCAGTAGGGCTTCCCACTAAATCACACTCCTTCACATAGCCGTAAAACCCCTTAGTGCTTCATATTGAAGTGCTATTACCTGTTCCCCTACTTCAAAGTGTGTGTTGACCTTACTTCCTCCTCGCAGTTGTGACAACTCCCTAAAGCAAATCAGAGCAGAGCTTATAACTGCTGCTAAAATTGCTGTTAACAAAAATAAATAAAATAAATATACTTCTAATTGACTAAACATCTGCTATCTCTATAAAATGTTTTTTTTAAAAAAAAAAAAAAAAAAAAAGCAAAGCCACAACCCCTGGAAGCCTTTTATCTCTCTGTTTGGTGGGGCTGTGATGCTAATTTATTGCTTGTGGTATCAGCCAAGCCTGCTGTATGTATACAACTGCTGTGTTATTTTCTTTCAAGCTGCACCGTTTACCCAGCCCTAAGGTGCCCGCAGGGCATTCGCTGTGTCAGTATAGCTGGTGATAGGGCAGGTTTGTAGCTATTTGGCTTGCTCAGCATGACAAAGGGATTTCAGAAGAGTAAAAGGAGACCAGGATTACCTCCCTCCCGACTTGTACCTTAACCATGAGGCTCTGGGTACATAGTCTTGGGTTCAGGGCAGATGCCATCTCGAAAGTAGGAGTGGCCTTACCTAGTACATCACTGTAAAATTGATCCCATTCTGCCCCGAAAATCCTGTGATACAAGATATCCATAACAGTGTAGACGATGGTGTTCAATAGCCTCTCCGTGAAGGATAGCCTGTCAGTCAGACGGCTCATGAGGGCTGGCACATAGGAAGGAGGCGCTGGAAGACCACCACAGAGCCGCTCCACCGTGTTGCCCAAGGAGAAGCGGAAGGTGTACACAAAGGGGATGCCCAGCTTCTCTGCAAACAGCTCCCCGCCCGGTAGCAGGGGGTCGATCAGAAAGACATCGAAGGCAGATTCCCTCAGCCTCTCCAGCAGTGCTTCGTTCTTCAGCATTTCCTTGCAGATCATTTTGTTTGCGTAGCTCATGTTGAACATCACCTCTCTTATCTGATAAAACACTTCCCAGATGTGCTGCTTTCTCTGCTTGTAAATCCAAAAATAGAAAGCTTCATCCAGCAAGTCAGCTACTTCCTTTCTGGTCATCGGCACCTCAACCACCTCGAACTTGTAAGGTGAGGGCTGGCTGGGATCGAGGATGAGGAAGCATGAAGGTATCACCACTGTCACTTCGTGGCCCCGGGCCACAAGCTGCTGGAGGATATAGTCCATGTTGAGCCAGTGGCTGTTGTCGGCGGGCCAGACCAGCACCTTCCCACCATACCCACAGCCCAACACCGCCAGCAGCCACAGCACCACCACCTCCTTCCCTGCCATGGTGTGACTTGTGCAGTACATGCCCGTGGCCCTCCTTCGATACAAGCCAGCAAGGGAGGCCGGCCCAGTCTGGTCCTGTGTGACTCCGCCTTGTCCACGTGGGCAAAGAGCCAAGGTAGCTATTGCAAAATCCTGGATAATGTTTTCCCTGGAGACGTGATATCTGAGGGCAAATGACTTGGTGAACCTGGAAGCGGTGCTTTCTCGCAGACAGCAGGGAGAGCTGTGGGCCCCATGTGCAGTCGCTCTGTCCCGTCTCCTGCTGTCTCCTCTTGCCCACTTCAGGGCTCATGCCCACCCACAGGTATGGGGCAATGTTCTAAGTGCAGCCTCTCTGCATTATTTCTTGTAAGAAGAGGGGAAATTTTCATCCATTTTGCTGTTCAGACAGCATTTGGGCACCTAGCAAAGATGTTCATCTGCTCTGTGAGCACCTTTTGGCTTTCTAATGTCAGTCTGCTTGTAGCTCACCTACGTGGCAAATCCGGATTGCAGCTAGAAAGTTTGGCCTTCCAAGTGGGTGAATCTAGGTGTGAACATGAAGGAACTCAGTGTCTGAATAAGGTTGTCTCTACAGAACTCAGCTCCTGGGGAGCCTGAATGTGATCGTGGAAGCTGTCCTGTGTGTCACTAGGTGCCAATAATGCACCATAAATAGAACCAGAAAATCTATTGAACATTTCTAGTCTTGCATATTTCTGCTCCGCAACTAAGAAATAATGAAAGCCCTTCTCACTGTGCCAAAAAAATCATCGCTGGGCTGCCACCCAAGAATCTCCTGCTCCTTGTCAGCCAAAGCAGGCTGCAGGGCCTTTGCTTCTGCTTCAGTAGAGGCCAGAGAGTCCTTTCCCGATCCCCCGTAGGTGAAAATGCAGGCATTGGTATAGGCCTGGCTGTCAGGAGCCAAACTCAGCCACCCGCTGTGCTGTGGGGAGGACTCTGGTGTGTTTGTCAAGCCCTGTGACGCGTGAGCACTGCGGGGAATTGAGCCTTCTGAGGCTTGGAAGGGCTCTGCTTCACAGGGTCAGTGCATGCTCAGTTCAAACAGCTCTTTGGCCGTGTCAGTAATCCCTAGGTAAACTTACATTTCTGCATATTTGCTGAAAACAGAGCAGAGGCTTGAGTGTGAAGAACTTGTTTTGTGCAGGGAGGATTGGTGTTAAATGACCAGTGATACAAGCACAGTCTCTATTACAAAGTCGCAACGGATTTCAGTATTGCTGCCGAGAGCATCAAGGTTGGTTTCTAATGCACCAGCCCTCCTCATTACGGTGGTCTGGGCTGGGAAAGGGCTCAAATTCTGCTACCTTCTCTGCAAGCAGTTCCTGGAGAGGGAAACCCGCTTTGGTTTGACATGGGCTACCCAGCTGTATCACCAGTCTCTTTTCCATTAAGGAAAATAATGAAACACACCTACTTGCTGGCCAGCAGTTCACAGACCTCTCAGGTATCATTTGAGTCCTGTCTCATTTTTTGAGCCCTTGGCTTTGCCACCCTGCCCTTCTTCTGGCTCCTAGAATCGTAGAATCATAGAATCATAGAATGCTTAAGGTTGGAAGGGACCTCTAGAGGTCATCTAGTCCAACCCCCCTGCACACGCAGGGTCACCTAGAGCACGTGGCACAGGACTGCGTCCAAGCGGGTTTTGAAGATCTCCAGAGAAGGAGACTCCACAACTTCTCTGGGCAACCTGTTCCAGTGCTCTGTCACCCTCACTGTTAAAAATTTTTTCCTTAAGTTCCTGTGGAACTTTTGGTGCTTCAGTTTGTGGCCATTACCTCTAGTTCTGTCGGTGGCCACCAGGGAAAAGAGGCCAGCACCATCCTCCTCACTGCCTCCCTTGAGGTACTTATAGACACTGATCAGGTCCCCTCTCAGCCTTCTCTTCTCCAGGCTGAACAGGCCCAGCTCCCTCAGCCTCTCCTCATAGGGCAGATGTTCCAGGCCCCTGATCATCCTCGTAGCCCTGCACTGGACTCTCTCCAGCAGCTCCACATCCCTCTTGTACTATGGGGCCCAGAACTGGACACAGAGCTGTGAGTCATGATGTGGGAGGCTGTTTAACGAGCAAGTGAAATAGCAGAAGGCTTACCTAGGACCTTGCTGTAGTACGCATCCCATTCTCCCCAGTAGCTCTGGAAAATGTAGTCTTGCAAGTGATAAGACATTATGTTTTTTATTCTTTCACCAAAAGACATGCGGTCTGTGAGCTCGGAGAGGGCTGCGGGCGTGTAGGATGGTGGGGCCGGGATCTTGCCGCAGTGCCTCTCCACTGTGGAGGCGGGGGTGAAGCGCAGCGAGTACATGAAGGGCACGGCCAGTTTGAGAGCCACAAGGTCGCCACAGAGAGTCACCGGGTCTGACAGCAGCAGGTCATAGCCGGCAGCCCGAAGCCGGGCCATCAGCTCTCGGTCGGTGAGCACCGCATCACACATTTGCCTGTTTATCTGGTTCCAGTTCATGGAGAGTTTTCCCAGCTCCTTATAAAACTGCCACAAAGTCCAAGTGGTTGGTTTGTGGTTCAGCCACAGCGCTACTAAATCCTCAATCAGGTTCTGGATTGTGTCTTTCTTGAAGGGCACAGCATAGACTTCATACTTCTCCACAGCCTCAGCCCTGGGTTTAATGAAGAGTGAAGCGTTGGAGACCAGGATGGTGACGCCATGGCCGCGATGGATGAGCTCCTGTATAACTATCTTGATGTTTAGCCAGTGACTGGCTTCTGTTGGCCAGATCAACACATTCCCACTGAAGGTCAACCCTACAAAAGCCGCCAGAAAAGACAGCAGCTGGAGGTGTTTCTTTGAGCCATGGGTTTTTGTGGCCATGGCAGCAGTAAGGGTTAGATAGCTTGGGCACTTTCTCTTCCAGCCCGGAACACTCAGTCTACACGTCACACGTGACGGGGCTTTACTAGCACCCTCAGCAAAGGCAGGTCTTCACCACCACCCAAGTGAGACCTTTTAGAGCCACGACAGAGTAATGGACCTGGAACGCCTTTGGTCTCTGGACTGAAAAGACAGAAAATGCTAGTTGGTGCAACTCTGCAACAGGACTTGCAGCAGCAAATGATATTATAGATATTGTTAAGTCTCCCCCATCCTTTCTTATGTGCTGGACACACATTTACCCTGTTGGTAAATAATTTACCAGCACCTGTACTCTAGCCCCAGCCAAGAGCTGCCCCCACTCCAGGCTTCAGCATTAATTCAGGTTGGTACATCTTCACCAAGGTACAAACAGCAAGCGAGACATGGACACACACACCACAGTGCAAGCTCTGGTGCCTAAATAACTCCCCTCCCTTTCTCTGTTGACTAGCAGCGCCACGTAAGCCAGAGAAGAAGCCACACAGTACACTTAAGTGCCTGACATGTGCATGCAGCCTTGGAAACACCACACTTTTTCACAGTCAGGTTTGTTAGTATTGACGTTTTCCATGCTGAGAGGGAATCATGTCTTACACCTTGGTGATAATAAAGCCAACTTATAGCAATAACAGTATGCCAGCCTCACTAGGGCGTCTCAGTCACAAATGGCATTTGATGTCTCTGCAGGCAAGCTCATCTGAGCCCTGACTCCCTGGCCTCTGCTCAGTGACTTTTATCACAATATTCCATGTCTTCTGGGGTGGCTCTCATCTGGAGATTCACTGTTTGCATGTAAGTAAGTCACTAGGTCCTGAAAGAACCGCCTCAGGAGGTCATAACCACCAGGAATCAAAATGAGACCACTCTAAAAAACACACATAAACCCACACATAAATTTGTGTGGGATAAATGCCATGCAGGAAAAAAAGCTCTTACCTACTGGGGCCTTGGCGGCTGTGAAAACATCATGTTCTGGATAATAAGGAGAAATTTTTTATGCCGGGCAGCTCCTGTCCATTGCTGCTTGTCTAAGGCACCTCAGCAGCCCTGGAGAGTTTTGACACAGGCATGAGGTGCTTAAATACGTTCTACCATGAATAGGGCTATGCAATGGGGAGAAAGTAATACAATATGGGCTGATCACAATGAGGCATGTATTCAAGGGATTATTCCTTGCTTTGTTATGCTCCAGTAACTAGCCAAGATTATCTTTCCTGTGTATATGACAGCACTATTACAGAGCCAGATTCTCAGAAGGAATTTGCATCCTGTTTTTGTACCTAGCTACCACTCATTTGACAAAGTATGTTGTCTGACTGCTAAGTGTTTACAAACATTTATTTCATTCCTGTTAGGATCCTAGCTAGGAAAACAGGACCTTTTAAAAGTAGATGTTAAAGACTTGCTCAGAAACTCTCCACAGAAGCCAAGGCAATCTTTTGTCTTCAAGTGCAGAGTTTTTCAAAAGTCCATATGTTGACCTTGCTCGTAAGTGCTGTGTTAGTGGTCCTTGATTCTGGAAACAAAGACATGGTTTTAGGGACATGGAGATGCAGGAACCTGTAGATAGGTCTCCATGTTTTTAAAGTTCTGCCCATAATATTCAACTTCGGTCTTTCAAAACTTTCAGAATTTGGAGCAATTGTATCCCCAGTATATTAACAGCAATGAGTTCCTGTATGATGTCTCCACAGACCTTTACATTTAGTTTCATATCTTTTAGCTCACTTGAGCTTACTTGGGAAAATCCTATAGGAAACTTAAGGAAATTTGCTCTGGCAAATATCAAAGGGCCATATCCTATCAGCTGGAGTATGTGAAGGCTTTGCTATAGGATTGCACTGATACAGCTCGTGATGTTTCCCTGCAAGGGCAAGCCTAGGGAGATTGAGAGCTGCCAGTTCCTCTGAATTTCTCAGGTTTTGTTTCTAATCCATCATTACCTAATTACTCTGTAGCAAACGAGAACTCTTACTAGTGAAACTGGTACTGGAGAGTTGTATTTTACTTATCTCTGTGGCTTAGAAGGATGGTGCTCAGGTTACTCTTAATGCAAAAAGGGGATAAACATTTTGAAAGGATTTGGGAACAAAACACAATAAACATGAGAAAAGCAGGGTTAAGCACTGAGGCTGATGTTAAGTAAGTGGTGTATTTCTCATGTCTAGCAAAATCCTTAGTAATCTGAGGATTGCTATGGAAATGGATGCAATCTCCGACTTCAATGACTTGCATAACTTGCTAGTTATGCAAAAGTTAAGGAATACAAGACTAGTGTTTCCCACACGTGGATAGCTCCCCCATTTCACTGAGTAGGGACTACAGTGTGCATGGCACATCTATACGACTTTCATAATACTTTGGGGCTGGTAGGAAACGGAGGTAAAACTTGGAGTGTATCATTTAAAAGTTGGGTCCTTCCCAAGCACAGGCAGAAACGGTCGTCTAAGGAGAAGTGTTCGCAGGACACATGTACTCGTGTCCATTAAACACCTACTTCCTCATTAGCGCCAAGAGTGATGATAGAGAGATGCCAGCACAGGTAAGTGAACTGACGTCCCTGTCACAACCCCACTTCTACTCACAAAATTTATGTCTCGATATCTCAGACCCTTACCCTCTGACCCTAGGACAAAAACACTACACATTCCATTTATAATACTTCACTTGTTTTTATTGATTCACTTTAAGATTTTTTTAATGGATTCTTCTTACTGTCATTCTGATGCCGCAGGGACACCTTGGCACAGGCACCGGGGTGGCTCTCCCAGAGGCTTTTACCACTCTGTAAAGGAAAAATGAAATCAAATTGAGGAAGGCTCCAGGGCAAGGTGTCTGTTCCCTCCCAGGGCCAGGCCTTTCACCACACCAGTTTATCATCTCACCAACTGCTTATTTGACCAGGTTAATTCACTGCTGGGCTCAGCTGCTGAATCGGACCAAGCCTGCCTTGGGGCAGGGGTCCCTCTGCGTGTCTGGGAGCGCAGAGCTGGGGAACAAGCTCCCGCCATCTCTAATGCCAGGCACTAATTTGTTCTTCTATTGCAACGTATTCATAACTAGTGATTTGTTCATATATAAGCCCCCATAGAGAAATAAATGCTAAAGTGAGTTTTCCACTAGATTTTGACTGAATCCACAAATTGTATGTAAGCCTTATCTTCCTGCTAACTTTCTGGTCAAATAACAATAATAATAATCAAAAGCAAAGCAAAGCTTAGTTCTGCTGGAGGGAAGTAACCACAGAAATGACTTTTCCTACTTACTTCTTGCATGCAGCGTGCTCAAGGCTCTAAGCTGCCTGGGTATCTTGCTGGGCCAAAGTGCTGCTGCTCGACACTGAGAGTTTCGGGAACGAAGTTTGTACCTCGGCCTCGGTGCCTAAGCGAAACGACCGCCACTTATTCCCCGGAGGTATATCGATATGTGAAGTTTGCACCTGAGCCTCGATGTGGGTGGCCAGAAAGGACTTCTTCGACACTGTTGTCTGTGACGCTGCCTTCTCCTGTAGTTCGGCATGCACAGAGGGCGCAGACGGCTTTTTCTCTGCTGAGGTGTACTGAGGCTCCGGCGGGGACGTGGAGTGAGGCGCCTCACTCTGCTTTACTTTGGGCACGGAGGACTGTTTCTGCACCTCTGTCTGAGAGGCGCATGGAGGCACCTCCTCTACACTGGGAAGGTCCTGCCCGGAGGTTTGCGCTTGGGCCTCAACCCGCAGTTCTGAGGAGCGCTGTTTCTTCCCCAGGAGCGTTTCAGCATCAGAAGTCTGCGTCTCGACATCTCTTACTTCTGGAGGCGCGGGCGTGATTTCAGTGGGGGCTGCTGTGTCCTGTGCCTCTGGTCCTTCCAGGCAGGAGGAGGCCAAACGAGCCTCGCTGGGTGAAGGAGAAGGAAGACTAACCTCTGCCTCGAATGTCATCAGCAGGGACGTCTGCACCTCGGCATCCTTGTACAAGGAAAAATAATCTTCCTCTTCAGCGATGGTGAGCGATGAGGTTTGCACCTGAGCCACTGCTAGTGAGAATGTGGGAGGCCTCTTCAGCACTCTCCGAGTGCGAGTTTGCACTTGGGCGTCCACGCAGAGCGGTGAGGAGCTGCTCTCCACCACGATTTCCACACATGCTTGCACCTTGGTGTCAACAAGTAACGGGAATATAGACTCCGCTTTCATACCAAGCGATTCAAGATCCTGGTCTTACAAGCGTGTTTACGAGGGAGCTTCATCCTGCTCAAATTTGTTAGATTGTGCTTTTAAGCACACAATTACTTCTGAGATACCTCCTCTGGCCTCATTATAACTGAGTTCTTGTTTCTGCCCCAGAGGCTTAGCAGCCTAGGTCTACGCAACACCTTTGGGACACAACCTTTTGGCCTCTCCTAGCTGAGTATGATGCAACTCTTCAACTAGGAGCAGGCAAACAGCTGCCAGGAATCACTTTGAGACCAGATCCAAGAAGATATAAACCTAAACCATTCCAGTTCTTATTAACACTGGAGCGCAAAGGGGAAATTTGTGGCATGCTATATGCTTTACATTTTACCAGAGCTATATCTGTATTATAAAGCGGCTAGAAGTTTCATTAAAGTATCATCTAGACAGACCACAGATGCAGCAACAACACAACTGAATCTACATATGTGTCCACAGTAACACAACATGTCTAGGGAATAAAGTGGGGGCGTTGGAAAGTCTGGCTTTAAACCAGACCAGCCACAAATAAGAAATGTAGTGGGAGGAAGAAAGTGCCTGGAACAAATTATACAGAAACAAGTAGTTTGTGTTAGCTGCGTCTGAGAAGAACAGCGGGGGGAAATTCCTGCAGAAACACGTGGTGATACTGATGTGACTGGTACAGAGCGACTGGACATGGAAGAGCTGTGTCTAACCCAGGAGCTCCTTTTTTATGGGGCGTCTTTTCCATGTAAGTGAAGTGACTGAAGCTACCACAGTAGTAGCTCAGGTCTCTGCTCAGGTCTGTATTTACCTGTTCTGTTTCTTCTGGCTCCTCTTCAGGCACTTCTGACTCAGCGTTGTTTGTATTGATGCTGCAACATAAAAAGGCACAGAAATTCAGAGCCTGCTCCACAGTCATCAGCAACATGATAAAACAGTGTGACCAAGAAACACACACACACAAAAATGAATTACAGAACACAGCTTTTAATATCAGAGAGAGAAGCAAAAAGCCATTTGGAATTATTTTATTACAACTTTTAACGATAAAAACTCTTGCCTGGATTTTGCCCAGGTGCATCTCTTACACCCAGACTGAGGCCATGAGGACTCTGCGACCAAAAAGGCATCCTGGAGGGCAGTGATACTGTGCTTGCCCCATGGTGGCATCTGTGGGTCTGACCCATGTTAACCCTGCTAGCACTTGCTGTATATGCTGGTTCACATTCCACCTCTCCTCCGTTAATGGAGCACGAAGTCAGAGTTTCTTTTTTTCCCCTTTTAGATGTGTCGTGTGGACTACTATTAATCCTGGAGAGCCAAATCCAGGAGCATGTTCAGGCACCACAAGGCTCACTGATACCAACTGGGGAATTCGGGTCAATGAGAATTACAGCATAAGCCAAGTACCTTTTGCAGAGCATTCCCCTGAGGAAGGCAGACCCCCTGTGAACTTCCCAGTTCATTTTTGCAACCTCTTGGGCCTATATTGCATCCCCCTTTGAGAAAGAAGTTGCATCCTTGGGGGCACTTTCCTCCAATATTTCCTCCAAGTCCCTGGGAAGTTACTTTCTGTCACAGGTATTGAAGAAAAGAGATCAGAGACAGGTGGGGTCGGCATCAGAGGAGCCAATGCCAAACAACTGTCACACTCACAGCTTCCTTCCAGCTTCCTTTTAAACTGTTGCAACATTAAGCAAATAATAGCTCTTTTTAAGGAAGCAGAATTTAGCAAGTCTATTCCCCCTACATGGCTGTTTATATGCTGTGTCACTGCCTGGTGCCATTTATCTAGTCCTTTTTGGCTGCACTGCTTTGGAAACTCCCTGATAGTGGCCAAGGGGACTGAGCAAACCTCTGCAGCTGGACAGTCCTCACCCCTGTACCCGGCACCTCGAATTCTGTGTTCAGTTTTGGGCTCCTCACTACGAAAAGGATTCTGATTCTATGGCTCAGCCACCAGGGCAGGAGAGGGCTTCCCTTGAAGGGAAACCAGGCGTACCTCAAGGACGACTCAGTCGCCGGGCGACCGGTGCAGCAAAGGTTCATTTTCCAGGTCCCTGGGAGCAGAACAGCACAAAAGTGACCGGTAAATCCTCCTTTCACCCACGGGCTTTATTCTTCCCTTGGAGAACTGTTGGCCCCCAGCCCTCCTGGGGGCAGCCAGGATGCTCCCATCCTTGTCCCTGAGGCTGGGGACCGGCACCGCTGGCGCAGAGTCTGTCCCTGTGCCCTCACCTCCCCTCTCCCCTATGGCCCCGGCAGACCCCCCCAGCCATAACTGTGGCACGTGTCACCCCCCCGGGTCCCCCAGCCCAGCCCCAAAGTGTGACCTCAGCAGGGGCTTTTCTGACACCTGCTGATGCGACGCTGAGGTAAGAGGGGCGCGGTGCCGAGAGGCGCATGCGGGGCCACAAGCTGCACTTCATTCACCACACGCAGGAAGCGTCACCATGGTGGGACGCAGCTGGGGACTTGCAGGCCAAGGTGTCCCCACGCGCTTGCCAGAGGTGGGACTCGTGTCTCCTGACTTAATTGGAAATATACTCCTGTTAGCTGAAGAGCTGCTGTTCCTTCTTCAAAATGGGCTTGGAAGAGGCCTTCTAGGCGTGGCTGGGGAGGCAGACACACAGCAAGCACAACATAAACTGTAGGAAACTCCACTGGGCTGAGGGAGACTTTGCAGAGGCCAGAGGTTTCCTTGGGCAATCAGTAACCATGCAGGCAGCAAATTCCATTTTTGCAAAAGAAGCCTCTTGTTTTTTTCCTCTCTAAGGAAATTACAGAGATGCAACCGGGTGCTGGGGCAGTGCCATTGCCAAGAGATGATACTGGGTGTAGACAGAGGGCAGAAAAAGGGGTCAGGAGGATCCCATGGTGGGTTTGGTGAGTGTGGTGGCTGCCACCTCAGAGCTCGGTGCGAAAGCAAAGGTCGGTCCCTGCCATTTTCCGGGCATAATCCTCCTCGAAGCGCTCGCTCTGGGCTCGCAGCAGATGGTTTCACTGCTGGTGTTCTTGCACGGAAGTTCGCTGCAAGCCGGATGTGCAATAACCCTGCAAAGCCCCGCCATGGGGGACTGAGGGGACGCTGGGCCTTGCCCACACGCTCCTCAAAGGAGCTCTGAGCAGCACATCACCCTCCCGGGGCTGCCAGTGCCCTCCAAGAGTTGTTCCGACACACGCGCAAGCAGGGAGCCAGCCCTCAGGCTTGGTCCCTAGGTCTGGCAGTGGCTTCGGGGCGTGTGGTGGCCGCCACCTCAGAGCTCGGTGCGAAAGCGCAGGTCGGTCCCTGCCATCTTCTGGGCATAATCCTCGTCGAAGCGCTCGCTCTGCGCCACCGTGAAGTGGTTCTTCCAGTCACCGGCAATGCCTGGGGCCGGGTGAGACGGGAGTGAGCAGCGGTAGCGGCAGCGGGGCTGTAGGAGGGGGCCGGGGGCCGCTCACCTTTGCGCATGAAGGGGGAGACATGGTGGTCCATGAGGTCAGCAGGCACCGAGGTGTAGTTGGTGGTGGGGTTGTCCCGCATGCTCTCGAAGGAGGTGTGATGGGCAATGGCATCCAGCACCGCTGGCGACAGCTCCCGCTGCAGGAACTGCACGACCTTCCCAATCTCCCGCTGCGGGTCCTGTCCAGAACGAGGCAGACGCTCAGCTCCAGCCCCTGTACTGCTGCCTCTGCTCCTGCTCCCAGGACCTTACCTCCTTCATGTCCTCGTAGAAGAGGAAGAGGATGGGGTGCTCCTTCCTCCGCTCCCAGTAGCCCTTCACATGGTCATACCAGGAACCATAGACCACTGCGTGGTGGGGCAGAGATGGATATGTCTCAGGGTGAGGGATGGAGGGTGGGATAGGGGCCAATGACCCCCGCAATGGGATCAGTGATGTCCCCAGACCCACCTCTGCCTGCCATGAACTCCTCCAGGTACTCGGCCCAGGTGCCGGCATGTGGCAGCAGCTTGTTCATCAGGTAGAAGTGGTAGAAGGAGACGGCCACGTCCTTGGCGTTGCGGGCGACATAGATCACCTGGAGACGAGGTTAGCAGGGGCTAGGAGGGACATGCCCCAGGCACCCTGCAGCAAGACTCTGTGCGGGCAAGGAGAACTCAGCAGGACAGAGGCAGCACCTACCTTGCAACCGTTGAGCCAAAAGGATGGGGGCAGCACGCGCGCGGGCAAGTGGGTCTTCACCACACGGGGTGAGGGCCTGCTGGCCAGGAGGTCTGTCCCTGCGGGAGCCCCACACTGCATCCCCAGGCAGCCTGTGCCCCAGAGCCCACACACCTAAGCCCCTGCTGCCACTACCTGACGGCAACTTTCCGGGGGCGGCAAACTCCAGCATGGGCACCCGCCTGGTGATGACATCCCTCTTGCACTGCTCAGGGTCACCACCATGCAGGATCATGTCCACGATCTCACAGATCCAGGTGGTACCTGGGGAAAGCAGCTCGGCGGCTTCAGAGGAGGATCCAACCTGCCAGTCCTGCCCAGCTCTGTCTTGCAGTCCTGAGCATACCACATCTCGTGGGTGAGCAGGTCCTAGCCACACACACATCCCCAGGGCTGCCTCCAAGCCAGGGACACATC